CGCGGTCCGTGAGTGTCACCCCCAGCTCGCTGCCGAAGGCGGGGCCCGATCCACAAACAAGCGTGGCTTTTTTTGTGCACAGCGGGGTGGAAAAATGCAGAGCTGGGAATGTCGCAGGCTGTAAGTTGGCGAGGTTCCTCGCGGAAATTTTTCGCTTCGTCCCTGGCCCAGCAGAGAACTGGCGCCAAGCGTGACAAGCGAAGGTGTCTCCGCCGAAAAGGAGCGCCCTGGTCCAGGTTCGGGGGCTGATGGATCGATTCCCGCGAATGACCGACCACGTGCCGCCGTAAGGGGATACCAAAACGACCCTTTTTGGGACCTGGTGCCGATACGTGCCGCCTTAAGGGGATACCGAAAAAGGGGCCCCTACTTTTGACAAACCTTCAAATGCAGCCACTTGAGTGGTCTGAGGCCGCCATCCGGACAAATTTTCGCGCCCCGACGTAAACCCCGCAGATTTGGGGCCGGTTGGGAGGATGGAAACTCCTCAAGTCGCGGCTAGTTGGGACAGCATGCAGCAAGAAGGAAAACACAGCCGCAGTGATGGCAGGCAATTCCAGGCAGGCTTGTCCTGTTTTCCACGGTCAGAAAGCTGGAGCTGCCCCGTGAGCACGGCAGCTGGGCCGGTTTTGAGGTTGGCAAGCGTTGGTAATGCAGAACCCACAAGGGTTCTGCCGGCTATACACGCAGTAGTTGACACTTTGTATCTTTCTACGTTTTGTCGGCGTTTGTCAACTTAGGGCAGGCTGAGTTGATCAGCTTACACTGAAGACTCTGTTGTTACAAGCACGACACATGATATGAGGCAACTACCCGCACACCAAAGTGGATTGAATTTGCCTGGACGCCCTGGGGACGTGTTGCGGAGGCCGCACGCGGGTGTACCGCCTCTTTGCAATTCAAAGGCACAGCACTGGACAGGCTCCCACCGCAACGGGAATTTGTGGCCGTCGTTTGTCAGATGGCAACTGCCCTCTACGCTTCACCCTTTTCACCTATCCCGCAACTTCAGAATTGAGTGGGGGAGCCCATCTCATCTGGGTCTCTCATTTTCTGAGGGCGCCTTTTCGTTTTTGTGGTTTTACCCTAGCAGGAAAGCCATTGTTTCATGGTGGGTTTCCGAGGTCTGAAACCTTGGCCGAAGGCCCAGGCTGCGCCTCTCGCTCCGCCCGGCTCGAAGCCTTCGCGGAGAGTCCCAGAGCAGCCGGAAGGCGAGGAATCGGGGGGTGGAGGGTGGCTTTGGTGTTCGCGGGAATCCGCTCCCTCCAGAACTGGAGAGCGAAGCAAGATCGCCTCCCTCGAGAATGGAGAGCGAAGCAAGCTGAACAAATCGACCACGTAGGACTGCCACAAGTGGGGGGAGAAGACAACAGTGGATGGTTGCGACATCCGTTCGCACCAACTTGAAACTATGCTTGACACCATGGTTGGCATGTGCCGGGGAATCATGAGAGACCAGGAATTTTAGGTGGTGCGAAATGGAGTTCGTCCATCCACAGTAGGACCTGTGGGAAGGTCCCTGGAAGATCAATCTCCCTGCAAGCGACCCAGGTGCCATGTTCGTGGGAGGGTAGCCTGCAAATGACGTCCAGAACCAAAAGTCATAGCCATCCCACCAATGAAGATGGAACCTGACGTTTGGGGGTCATTTTTTTTTCAGGAAGAGGGTCCAAGCCAGGACCCCCCTCTTTTACGCCAGGTTCCATGTTAATCATGATCAATCAACCGACGCGAAGGACACCCGGAATGGCTGGAGTCCGGAGTGTCGAAGGTACGTTTTTTTTTTTTTTTTTTTTTTTTTTTAAACCCATGTGTTTTAGGTGATTTTCTTAAAGGGAACAGAGTGAAGCTTAAACTCTTGCAGGCTTGTCCTCGCAGCTTCTTCTCGTTTTTGAGACACTCATCCTGGGCTCTGGCTTTCGGTCGCCTTGGCCGAAAAGAGTACAGGGCGGAAGGGGAAGATGGTGGAGGCACCTGCAGGTCGCTTCATCCATTCATTCATCCATCCATCCGTCCGTCCATCCATCCGTCCAGCCATCCATCCAGCCATCCATCCATCCATCCATCCATCCATCCATCCATCCATCCATCCATCCATCCATCCAAGGAATACCAGTGCCTCTTTCGAGCGGGGGGCGCCAGGCGAGATGGAGCCATGCGCTCAGAAACCCGGTATTCCTTCCGGGGCTACGGGGGTGTCGGAACGAGTTGGACCGGGCGGGATGTTGGCATTGGGTTGGCTCTTTAGACTTCAACTTTTTCGGAAATCGAGGGGTTCTCCACAAAACCCACAAAAGTTAAACACTTTTTGCAGAGGTGTCAACAGCATCCAAGCTCAGAAGAACGCTGCTCGGAAGGGCCCGCCGCTAGCCGAAGGGCTGGCCATAAACCGATGACCATGAGGATTTCGATGGGATTTGTAGGGGTAAGAAGCCCGAGAGAGGAGCATGCCCGAGAGGGCATCTAGTCCACCTATGGTTCATTTGATCACCCACGCGCAACATGAGGCTAGTTGTTCGTCAAGGATTGTCATAGGAGTTGTGCCGTGGGTCTTGTCAGGAAAGCCCCCCCCACGAGTTGGATTCCTACGGCCAAAGTACGCAAGGCTCAAGCTCAATCACGTGTTCTTTGCGTTCCCTTGCCAAAGGGGCCCTCAGATTGACCACCAAGCAGAAGAATCCCCCTCGCAGATGCCTTCAACACTGCAAGGCGAGACAAGTATCATGAATGCACGCAGCTGCTGGCTTGTGGCCGGTTCAGAAATACAATGCGTTCTGCGCAAATGTATGCATATATATATATATACACATACATGTATATTCATTCGTTGATTTCTACATTCGTTTGTTTTGCTCTTGCTTCGTTTGACCATCAAAGGAACCAATCATTTTTGCTCCTGGATCCGAGGCTGGACGAGCCAGCGGAAGGCGGGGTTTGGGGTCGAGCCGACCTGAAGGCAGTGCCATGCTCGGGTAAGCCTTTGGATTGGTTTGGATTGGAATTCGGATTCGGAATTTTGGATTTGGAACCCCCTGGTTCTTGTAGAGAGGGTATTACCCAATTGCAACACTTTGGATTGGGATTTGATTGAAGGGTCCCTGGTTTTCTTCCAGAGAGTCTTACAGATTTGTTTTAACAAGCATTGTGGGGGCAAAGCTGAATCACAACGATTTAGCTCGTTGATTTGTCTTAGTCAGCAAGGCAGTTCAAGCTGGTCGTTTTGTTTCATGGGCTGGATTCCACCAGCCGGAGAGACCAAGGACTTTCGTATCCAGATGTCAGCCGTTGTCCCAGGCTGTGGGTCAAAACTAGGTACCCAACATGGAATCTTGGTACATGGAAACATGGGCCACCTGCGGTCCCCGGTTTAATTTTGACCCATAGGTTCTGTCCCGAAGAAACCGGAAGCAAAGCGCAACCAGTTCTCCGTGTTTTTTCCGGTGCTTCCATTTGCTGAAATGAATATGTTCTTTATTTTCCCCTGTTGGTTTCAAAGGGAATCTATCACTACTGGACATATTTTTTTTTTCCAGGGGACTTAAGCAAATGGAGGTGTGGAAGAGATCGCCAGGCCGAAGATCCTGGCGGCCAGCCGCTTTAGGCGGAGTTGACTCGGTGCGTCTGAGCGAGAGAGACCCAGCCTGAATGTACCCAAGGGCCAACAAGCTTTGCATCTACAAGGGATTCTTCGTCGCAAGGCCAAACGTTCAGTGATTGGAACAATTATACAAGCCTTTTCTTTGTTTTTGGTTTGTGAATACCGACTGCTTGCTCCCAGAAGCCTTTCAGCAGTTTTGCGCAATATTGCAGCATGGTGTGGGAAAGGTACCTCGTTCACAAGGCATAGGATCATTGTTCCCCGACCGACCCTACCCTGGAAGATCACTTTGGTCCTCGTTCAGTCCTGCTGAAATTATTTGCAACACCGCAGTGACAACCTTTTGGTTGCTCTTGTGGGGCAGCGGCCAACGCAAAAGGTGAACACCCTTCACGACTGGAGAACTGCGGGCTCCCTGCGATGGAGAAGCTCCGCTTCTGGGCTGGCTTTGCGCTTGGCGCAGCTGGCCGTAGCTGGGCGTTTTGCTTGGCCGTGGCTCAAAAAACCGGGTTGCCCTGGTGAGTGGAAACACGGACCAAAACCTGCGGTTTGCCCCTGCTGGTTAATTTTGAGCCACACCCGCAAGACTTGCAATCTGGGAACCACAAAGTAGGGGTCTCAACTTTTATTTCTCAACATGCGGGTATCACAGGGTTCAAACCTTTGAACCCCCCACACGTGTCTACATGGACGAACAACAGGGAGCGACCAGTTTTGAGTCTTTGGAAGATGATTACCCGTTTATGCTGCGCTTCTGATATATTTATGTATGTATATATGGATATATATATATATATGTATACATATACACATATATATATACAGAACTATCCATCTCTCTCTTTGTCTCTTTCTCCGCTCGCCAGGCGCCGGAGTGCTGGGCCTGGTGCTGCTAGGCGGACCGTGGACTCGGCCTTTGGGTTTTTTTCCGACTCGGCTCAACTTGGGTCCCGGCAGCTCCGGGTCCTTTAGGAAGTTTTGTACTTCAGATGCCCAAAGTTCAATCTAACAAGGAACCAATCATAGTATAACTTCTGACTTTAGAGATAAGTTAAATAGGATTTCCTTCCACCAAGCAAGTATTTGGAATCGTTGTTCCAAAGATTTTGAAGAGGATTTCCGACCTGAAATGACCTCTTGGTTTTCCAAGGTTGTTTTTGTTTGTTTGTTGTGGCCTCAAGAGGTGACCACCTTTTATTTCTAAGTGCTTTGGGCAAGTGAGTGTAGGTTGAAGTCGGATGGGGATAGACCTTAACCATCCCACATGGCCATGGAACCTGCGCATGGGTCGGAATGGTTGGAACTGTTACTGGGAAGGGGGTTTCCCGCAAAAAAAGGATCAGGGTTGCCCGCGACCGGGTTGTATCAAATCAGGTCTTTGACCATTGCAGCTACGAGTGCT